AGCGTGATGCTGATCTCACATTACAACCGCTTTATCAAAATTTGCCTCGAGTTCCATACTTTTAATTCACGACTGATGGTATACCGTTGAAATGCTCCTTCAGTTTACTTCAAAGCTAAAAAAAAACAAGGGGAGGGAGGAAGGGGGAATCTTTAAATAATTTAAACAGCTAAAGGAAAAAACGTCATGTCGTTTCGTTCTAATTTGTTGAATGCCACCGATGTTTTTAAAATACTTAGGGAGCAGGATAACCTCTGCGGGAGATACAACATCAGAAATAACGACTCGAATCGCGTTAGCATCAAGTGCCTTTCACAACCTGTCAAACATTTGGAAGTCAAGATCACTCAGCAACAACACGAAACTTAAGGTCTTCAATTCCTGTGTGATCCCAGTGCTAACTTATGGTTGTGAGAGTTGGAAATCATCAGTATCAATCGATAAGAAACTAGTCGCTTTCGAGAATAGATGCCTCCGAAAGCTATTGAATGTTCACTGGTCGGACTTTAGGTCCAATACATCTATAAGACAGGAAACAAAACAAAAATATGTGTCTGATTTTATTAGAATGCGTCGCTGGAATTACATCGGTCACGTACTCAGAATGGACATACAGAGACTTCCCCACCAAGCCTTCATATGGTCACCAGAGGGTAAAAGAAAACAGGGAAGACCAAAAGAAACTCTCCGTAGAACCATCACAAGGGAGAGCTCAACCATAGGTCTCAGTCGCACTCAAGACCTACATCAAGTGGCAACGAACCGACAGACGTGGAAAGCTATGACCTCTGCCCTATGCGCCATCTTTGGCACAAGAGGAATAACTAACTAACTAACTAACTAACTAACTAAAGGAAAAACCATGTTTTAGAATCGGTTTGAAGAAAGACACAATTCCTTAAAAAATGATGTGTTATTTACAACCTAATTAGTTAGGACGTGCTGTTATATGATGATGATGATGATGATGTTATATAGTGCCTGTATATTCTCTGTCAATGACACCTTTCCGTCTTTCCAGACGATAGTGTTATATTGTGCTATGAGGAGACATGGGACGAAGAGACCATGGCGATGAAAAGTGTGACTAACAAGACCTGCCAACATTAAGAACAGTTACAATTAAGTTCAGGGATGGAGTTCCTCTCCTCCATAGCACAAAGCCTGGGCAGTACTGTAGAGACCATATGTCGCCCATGCATCACAATCTCTCGATCGGCCTTGTTTACTCTATAGAAAAGGAAACACTAGCACGTTTAGAACAAAGCAGACTGCAGAAACTGCCGGGTCAAAAGTACAGTGCTCTATCTGCTTGCGTGTCCATGCTTGTATAATGGATATAGTATACGTAAAGGACCCTATTTTACATCAGTGGCGCATCATTCATTCGATTCTAGACTCGTATTTTTTTAATAGATCAAACGATACTCAGTGGATGAAGTGGTCAACAAAATACGAATTGCCTTTATTTCCCAAGACATTATCTCGTACCCATTTAAGTCTGCGTCGACATAGGAGACAATGTAAATTTTACAGGGGAAAAATGGCAGGCTTAGATTCGAACATAAGAACTTCGCCGGTGCCCCTCACCCCCCCCCCCCCACCCACCCCCCCCCTCAACGACTAGCCACCAAGCTGCTTATGCTCCCGAAAAATTGTCCATTGTTTTTACAACATATGTTTATATTTGACACTTTAATAGCATCTTTGAAGCTTATAAACACTTTTGCTTTAAGTTACAATCATCTAATTTCTTTAAACATAAACAGTTTCGTGAATTTGAGGGAAAGAGCCAATATCCGGGATCCACAAATCTATAATACGGGTATAATTTTAAAACTACTTAATATTATGATTCTTTTACATTTATTTAGGGGACATGACATTAGGGTGTACTGGCGCATACTAGAAGTTACTCGAACAACCAAAATGATTAATCTGTGTTGCAAGATTCAGATTTAAAAAAAAAAAAACACATTCATCACCGGATAAACAATTGTGGCCAAGTTACTTGAAGTGCATGTACTGAAAATATTGTTAACATAAACAGAACAATCATTTGAAAAAAAAAAGTAATACACCGTGATGATATAACGTTTCAAAGTTTTTTTTTTCTTTCTCTTGTAAATGTGGAAAGCATATACTTATATTACTATATGAATTCTTAAATACTTTCGCTGATCGCGAGATATGAAGAACGTGAGAGCTCCCGCTAAAAAAAAAGTTACAGGGTGTGTTCGTGCGCGTGCACAATGCGCGCGGGCTTTGCTTTACACTATACTTTACAAAAAGCTCACAGTTTGCTTTCCCCCATAACGGGACCACTGTGTTATCTCCTTTAATTGATCTTCTCTTTATCTGAATCTTCCAACACATAAATATTATTGTGGTTGTCCGATTTATATTTTAATATTTGCCGGTTTACCATGTAGTTACGTTCCCTTTAATACACTTTCGTAATATTTTTGAAAGGTTATTATTAATAACTACGTCATAAATAATAAACGTATACTTTATTTTTTTTTCATGTTGGAAAACAGTATATTTTAGACAGAGAGGCGATGTTGCTTTTTTTTTTTTTTTGGCTTTTGTATCTGCTACACACAAAGAGGAATATCGGAAAAAGTGCATTTTGAAATTGACAAGTGCAGCCAAATAACGTGTCTATAAACTTAAACAGCATGCACAGATTTTACTTGAATTATGCCAAATTATGATTATTAAGCCATCATCTCCCCAGCGACAAGCTGGAAACCGTATTTATCTTTATTACTACATTTGGTCTGCTAATATCTGATCATTTTTTTCGCGCCTTGCAATTTGCCTTTTACTGGCAGCAATTAACTTATTTCTCTTCTATCCCATTTACGGAATCAGATACAAAATCAATTAAACATACTAGTTGATGCGAGATCACGACAGTTAGGTCTAAAAATCCACATGGGAAAGACATGGATTTGAGAATAAACCAGGCAAACAGAAATTTGCTTTCTCTAAATGAGTTGGCACTCCAAGATGTGGAGACATACACCCATTTAGGTAGAATTATAGTTGCAGGGAACTGACTGAGATACCTAAATAAGAATACGATGGTAAGATGTGTTTTCATCGCATTTGGAAATCTTTGAAAGTCAATGGAAATTAAAATGAATACTATACTTTTTATGTTTAAATTCTAATGCTAAATCGGGACTGCTGCATGAAGAAGAAGCATGCAGAAAATCTAAAACAATGACTAATAAAATACAAACTTTCATTAACTTGTGTCTGCACAAAATAGAGGGAATTAAATGATGTGATGAAAATGCGAATGTTAAGCTACGGGAGAGAACTAAAACAAATTACAGCGAATCAAAAGGTAATGAAAAGACGCCAGCGTTGGAAAGAAGAGAAGTTGAGAAAGCTCGAGAACAAATATAAACATAATTTTTTTTGGCAATGGAACCCACAGAGGCATAGGAATAAAGGGGGATTAGGAGGGAGCTAGAGAGCGAAGTTTCAAAAATAGGGAGGATATAGATGTGATCTATGTGCAATAGCAAAAGGTTATACGTCTTCGCTGAGTTTCCATAAGGTATATTTTGCATTAGGGGATAGCAGGCACAAGAAGAAGAACACGACCAAGGAAGTCGACACGAATGCTGTCGTATACACATGCATACGAATGTGTATCAAACTTTTTTTTTAAGGATTTTAAAGTGTCTCAATCGTACTTTTTTTTGTTTTCTCATCACATTTTCATCTGCAGTGTGTGTGCGGGAGTGTGTGTGTGTGTGTGTGTGTGTGTGTGTTTATGTGTAAATACACAGTTATTTTCATAAAACACTGTCATGGACTACACATAATTTTTAATTTTTACTTTACAGAAATTGCAGAAAAGAAAAATTACAAATGTTCACGTTTGTGTTGCTGCTTTGCCGTTTAATTTGTGGATATTTAAAACTAATTATATTTTTAACAATATTTCAGCAATGATCCGCTCAGTTCAAATGTTTATTTCTGCACTAATCTCTATATAGAATATGTACTCGTATGTTAATGCGACTGGCATAATGTTTTTATTGCCCACCAAGTGCAGACTGACTATAAACTAGTAGTGTAGCATGACGTCAGCTGCTCCTCATGGGTTGCAAGGGCACTTCACTGTAGCATATAAATTCACGAGCAAAGATGTTACGAGTACATTACAATTTTACTTACTCTCTATACAATACACACACACACACACACATATGTCTAGAGAGAGACAGACACACACACACAGAGAGAGAGAGAGAGAGAGAGAGAGAGAGAGGGGGGAGAGCGAGAGACAGAGAAAGAGAGAAAAAGAGAAGGAGACAAGTAAGTCTTAGTCTTACTCTTGGTCTTAGTCGAGTTTTCAACTTTTCTGCAATCGGGGCACCCCATCATTGCTCCGTTACTGTGCCAGTGAACATCAAATGAAATGTCCCTCATTGTCTCGTTTGATAAACTGGTAAACAAGCAATTAATCCCGGTTCAATCCAGAAATATGGGCACGCAGTAAATTCATATGGCAATTGCTAGAAGACCAAATCCAATAATCGCCACCAGAAACGCAATTTGTCGTTAAAGAGCGTAGTCAGGTACGATAAGTTGGCCTTGCACACTTAAAATTGTTACACAACGTATTTCACAAGCCCACATGTAAACCGGCTACTAGACATATTGAATACCAGGACACAACCGCTGCACAAATGAAAGGCCTTCTACATGAAAAACAATGCTCATAGGGCTGCAAGAAATAAGAACTAAACCCTATAGCTCATGAGCGAAACAGTGGACCATCAATATGTGAAAAATACATTGGCAAAGCGCTGTCGAAAACAAAAATAACTTCCAAGCTAAATATTCTGTCCATGCTTAGTCATTCATATTGGACCGAAGTAAGAAGATAATAGTAAAGTAAAAAAAAAAAGGAAAGGAAAGGAAACTGTTCAGACTAGTGCCTGTGCTAATTAGAAAGATATACCTGTGCTTAGTTAGGCCTCTACCGGAACCTGACAGGTTTGTGTGTCTCGGTTGCATTCCAGACCATCGTCACAAATAACGTACCTAGGGACTCCAAAATAGGGGGCTGGACTGCAGTCAGCGCCCTGCTCTGTGAAAGAGATATAGAAATGTCTGAAGGCTGTATTAGTCTTCATCGGCTACCGGGTCACACATTGACTACCGGCCTGTCGGGACAATGATTGGGTCGTCTCCCTTGATCGCATTAACACTGCATAGGTCCTTTAGCCATTTTAAACACATAAACATAGTCACAATTGTAACCAAAAGCTCCCTCCTACGGGGGAGGGCAGGGGGGATGCTGGTTGAACTGACGATTTAAAAAAAAAAAATTAAGCAAGCATTCGTCGGTTCATAGTATCATTGAAAGATAGTCTACTGAAGTAATTTTTTTTATTAACTCTTTCAGGACGGCGTGTCTTCTGGAATCTGGATAGAATTAATTTTGGGCTGAATTTTTACTGCAACATGACAAAGCTTAAACCTTCCTGGAGAAACAGTACAGGCTATGCTGGCATGCACTAAAGTTGGCCAATGTGTTTGCCAACATCTTTCTGTCCAGCGTACAGCCAGATACTCTAGCACAAATCTCTTTGCCCCAAGGGCCATGCTACCAAACCACCCACAATCAGTTTGTCAGTCTTCTCATGCCTCTTTTTCTCTACCTATTTTTACTCATGATATATTTTTTTAAAAGAGGGATTCTATTTTTCTGACCCAGTAATTCTTTCTCTAAGTTAATTAATTTCTTTCAAGACAATATAATTGTGCACTGTGTTGAACAATACATTATAATAATCATGGTACTATATCGATGTATGAGCAGAGCATCTAAGAAAATGTGTACAAATAGTAATATCAAATACTTCTCTGCTGAAAATTCGAGGAATGTCTTTACACTTTTTTTTTTTTGTCCATGCTGCTCTCACTATTCTGCTAGAGAACCACTGCTAGAGGTGCATTCGATCTACCAGCAGACCACTTTTCGTTGATTTGTGCCGACCGTCGCGAAGATTAATGACAAATTGCTGAATGTATAAAAAGTGCCCACTAAAACTACGAATCACCAGACATGTTGCGATTGATTCTGTAACATCTTGTAAATGATCTGCAGCCAACTGTGGTGGAACTAAATTAGACTATAATTTGGTGAAAACGGCATTGTTAACTGTCACCAACCAATACTATAGTGTGACGGAAACTGCTGTAGTCAACATGTAGTCACTTTGGTATAGCTGTTAGCTCGCTTGTCTTCTGATACAGTGCTCTGGGTTCAGTACGATACATGGCATTAATTTACCCAGTTACTAATACTTTGTGGTCGAGCCTGCCTAAAGAGAATGAAAAACTGATAATTTTAAAACTTGTTTTAAAGTTATCTAGGGATAACAATTTTTTTTTTAAAGTAACGGGGGTGGGGAAGCATGACCTCAACTCATAAAGTGTGTCCTAGATATATGAAGATCTAAAATGTTATCCAACATAAGTCGGCAGTACCTGACATAGGAGTGTTTTTCATTTAAAAAAAAATATGTATTTTCTGTGAAATATACAATGTTTGCACTAGATGAATAACATAATGACCTATTTGGACATAGGATACAATTTCTGCACTAGATGAACAACATAACGACTTAGTTGTACATAGAATTGCCGTAAAAAAATTAATTCACTATGTAGGAAAGAGGACGCCCTTATTAAAACCACTTACCTTGGGGTACAGGCATAATCACTCCCAAATGGCAAGTAACAGACTGCGTTTTCATCTACAACAGTTTTCAGAATTTCCGATTACTGCCTAAGCCCTATAATAAAGTGGCTGCTATCGAGAATACGCCAGTTGAGTAACTGTGTGTATTCGTGTATATATATGTGGTTGTGTTGATTTATGTAATGTGCTGATGAAGGCTCTGTAACCTCAATGTTCTCTTTTCGTTAGTGGTTGCTACATTGTAAAGCTCGCTGTTCTGTTTAGTTTTTCGTTTAGTTTATATCATTCCAATTACTGCCCGTATTTACCACGTTTGCGGTGTAGGCGGGGGGGGGGGGGGGGGGGGGGGAGGGGGCCCGAAGTAGGAGGGGATTCTTTGAGCAGAAGAATGTAGGCCCCATAGGGTAGGTGCTGTCGCCACGGACTGTACAGTTTAGGATTTTATTATGGCCCCCGCCAAAAAAAAAAAAAAAAAAAGATTCGACCATAAATTACCGAGGCTAAAAGCCCCGACCAAAAGCAAAGTTTAGAAGTGTGATTTTACAGAGCATCACAAAGCTAACATATTCTTTAGCTGTTTGTTGTTCTGCTTAGGAGTTTATACGTTTAGTTACTGTGATGTTCTTTTCTAAACGGTTTGACGCTAACACGTTGTCAACAAAACGGTCTGTTGTCAACAAAACGGTCTGTTGTCAAATCGTCTATACCTGATTTCAAATTGGTGATGTTAGAATCATAGAGCTGTGCTCACGACCACTAATCCACAAACGTCTACTCAATTAGCCCCGTTTTGAAAAGGGGGGGGGGGGCGGGGGCGGAACAATAGACATCAGACCCTTTACAAGCATGACGTGAAAGGTGTCTAATTAAAGGAATATTGGGATTGGATGTTTTGTTTTGAAACGCGCGGTTATAGCAACCTCGATGTAAACAACAATTATTTGTGTCATCTTTCCGTTAGACACATACTATGAAATGTTACAAATAGTAACCGTTGGCTCATACATACTGAGGACAGTATAGCATCCGTCGCAGCAGTGGCAGAGACCCCCGTTTGGTACGATCTTGCCTTTACAGTTGTCTTCTGTCAGCTTATGGCAGATAGTATTTGCACAGAGTTGGGCAGTGCAGGCAATGAGAGCATTAGTTTGTGCTGAAGCCAGCAGAACCAACAGTGAGATCAGTAGAGGGGTCATTGTTGTAAGCTGTAAATAAACGACATAAGACTGTTATTTGACAAAGTGAAAGCAAAAACGCATATAAATTAAGCTCAAAATAAGTTATTGAGATCTATCATTTTTTTTTTCAGACAGCAACATACTGTGCTATAGAGTTGCATGTTGGCGTCTGTGGCTTAGGCGTTGCGAACGCTCTTCGTAATGCCGGGGTCCTGGGTTCGATTCCAGCTGCAGGGCTTGCACCTTTCAATGTTTTGATAGTGGTATTGAGAAGCCGACCGTCCAGAAAGAAATAGCAAACTACTGGACCTAAATCTATTAGCCTAGAAAAACCACAACAGCCCAAAAAGGCTGGGGTTGGTTCTGCAACGTCATGTAAAGGATACGCAACTAACTTTTTTTTTTTTAAATAGAGACACATGGTAATCACAGCATATCTTCTTTTTCACGTTCACCGGTTGTAAACTCCCTCGAAAGGTTACAATTGTTTGTCCGCTTCTGGACAATAGTCCTATTGCAGAACCTGAGTATTGTGTGCACATCGGTTTTAAAATTCTGACTGATGTGTATGCAGACTGTTGTTTCCCTGCCTCTCAGGCAGATGCATTCGGACTTCCCAGGAAGCGCTCAATTATTGGACACCCACTACTTGCTTTTTGGCAGGCATAAGGTCCCCCCCCCCCCTTTTTCCCCACAGTAGTGCCCTGAAACAAGGCGAACAGCAAATGGCGATGGTTAATGTGGCTGACAAGACTAGACCCTGTTAGGAAAAGTGTTCCACAATTAGGTAATGGGATTTAAGAACCATTGTTGCCATCGCATATTCTCAACTTCATTTTCAGATGCTCTAATGTTAACTTATCCGCAATCAGTTTTTCCCATTTCCCTATTCACTTCCTGATTTTCCACGTCTAAGCGACACCGTTCATGGCATCCTGTTCCCACGAATCCGCTTTAGTACATGTATATCATAATAAAGACGATGTCGACCATCTTCTATCCATTTGTGAATAACTAAAGAGGTTGCATCTTCGCCTTATAATGTTGAGCAATCAATCTTTATTCTCCAAATGTTGTGCGTTTCAGAAGTCCGGCAACATTTTTAAAAAATATGTTACTAATTAACCGTTAGGTGTAATTTTTTAAAATCTGTTATTGCAAAACATCAAACTGCATGAGTTCCATGAGCATTTCACTCTCCAGTGGTCATCTACAGTAGATTAACACAACTTCTCCTTGTATGTCCTTTAGTAATATACTATCAAAAAACAAAACAAACAAAAAAATTCCCAACGCATGCTGCATATGTGAACTGATTTCCAATCAATGTCCTCTCATGTGTCATTTACTGGATGTTCTTTTTTTTTTAAATTTTTTTTAGGGGTGCACAAATTATTGTCAAACAAACGGCCAAAGAGCGATGGCATGATTTTTGAAACACACTGTGGTCATCACAGCCTCATAATATTGAACACTGCGAAAACTGACGTGATACGGTCAGTAAACGGTGTTTATGATCTTGTATTGCATTCAAGGCTGAGTATTCTTCGTAGGCATCGCTTCTGATCACTATACCTTGAATGTGTCAATTGTCTCTAGTATATATATATATATATATATATATATATATATATATATATATATATATATATATATATATATATATATATATACGTCGACCATATTTCATTACAGTAATAAAGAGTGCTGAAAAGAAAAGCTTGATAAACGTGAGTTTTACCAACTCAAGCGGCGTCCGTGGCTTAGGCGTTGTGAGTCTGACTCGTAATTCCAACCACGTCCGGCTGTATTTCTGGAGCTGGCCGTGTTCCAACGTACCGCTATTAAAACCCACTGCTGGCTGCTTGGATTTTTATCGTGGTATAGGGCATTGCAGTTCGACCTAGCCTAAAAGGGGACCAGGATGTATGCCTTTGGGAAGTAAAGACAGCCAGCGTATTGCTGACCACATTACCCACTTAGTGCCAAATGTTCTGTAATAATATTTGCGCTCTTCTCATACGCCCGATGCGCCTAAAGGCGTGAAAAGAGATCTTCACTTGACTTTTACTTAACAAAATCAAGGACAGTTTGGTATAATTCCACACACTGTACTCAGTATTATGCCGACATCCAGTGTACAGAATCGCAGACGACTTAAGGTCAGTGGAAAGTTGCATACCGTGTGTGGTAACGTCAAAAGTAGGTAGGTGCGTTATACTGTGTCTGTGGATCGAGTCAAATCGTTCTGGTCGTGTTGTCTTGATACAGATCGATGATTGTCATTTACTGAATGATCATGTCGTATAATTTTCGCAGTAGGAATCCTCTTGTACGGGCTTCGTCGTCCTCTTTTTTGTCTACTTTCCGCTACGCACTGCTGTCTGAACTTTTAACCATCATCGCAAATCCAATTAAGGATGATTACCAGGGAGGAAAAATCCAAGATACCAACTTCTAATTAAGTTTAGATGTGGCATTTACGGTCAAACCAGCCTTGAGTAGACTTCAACTCTGTGTGGGTAATGAGTCACGTAGAAGGTATTTATATAAGAATCGTTTTGGAAAATCCTCCAAGTAAACAGCCATAAAGAACATTACTCATTACACAAAGGGCAACCAAGACGTTTTGGAAGAGGCGGGAGCCCGAAGACACCTTATCACAGACATCAGAAGGAGATAGTAATCATTTTTCGGCCAGGTTATGAGAGAAGGGAAAATAGAACATGTTGTGACCACTTGAAAGATCTGTGGAAAGAGGGATAGGGGAAGACAACGAGAGAAGATTCTTGACAGTCTTGTTGCATGTCATGGAGGTGTGTCGGAACACGAACTGTTACATGCTGCAGGAGATCGCAGATTGTGGAGGGGCATGATCGCCCAGCTAGTCGGCAAGGCACCTGATGATGATGATTCATGACACACTTTAATTAGAATTGTTTTCAGTGTAGAGGCCGCAATAAATCACTAATACACCTTCAAGCAGGGAGTAACAAATACAATAAAAATGGGAAAGTTGATTAGAGGGAAAAGCCAGAACTGTGCCGAGGATAATTTTCACAATTTGATTTAGCAGTGATACGAAACAATATACATCTACTTAATAATAACATATAAATCAATCGAATGTAATTTCTCATATCTGTCTGCAAATAGTTATTTTAACAGAAGTAACAAACAGACAATACCTTGTTTTGAAATTTTGCAGGAACCTTTAAAATAAATAATATAGTAGCAAATTCTGCTGCAGAGAAAACGTCACTGATAGTCAATTGAGGATACGTACTTTTATACCTAGCTTTATCTGTCAGATTTTAAGATAAGATTTGCTACGATCACGATCAAACGGACACCTGCATAAGCTTAACAGCTGTTGCTAGGAGTATACATAGACAAGCCTCACACATAAACTATCACTCATCTATTTTTTACGCCCACGTTGACCATGAGGTTAGGTGTGTGCTCTAATTTATATGCATAAAAACAGTTAAGTAGAAACACTATTTGTTGTGCCAAACTTTCAAAAGGGTTTCGCACATTGAGTGTACAGTTTCTCAAAACATTGTGCATGCTCTAACTATAGTAAATGACAATCTCCGTTTGCTACATTATTTTTACAGTTTTTTACAGCCTATGGACTAACGCGGATGATGTCCCTCACATGCAGCAAAAGTTTACATTTTTAGGTCGAGGTACACAGAGCATCTATGGGTCTCCACCCTTATGATATTGCTGAAAAAAATCGGAATGCCTACATTCAGATTCATAAATGGGCTGCATCGCGGCTAAGGATCCCTGGTTTCCAACTGTACTGCATTATCCTGCTACCAGTCTACTATATAGTGCCTATGAATGGAGCTGATTTATACTTAACGTTTAGAAAAACCGGCAACCTTTCTGTTGGCCAGGAAGAGCTGTATTTATGTTACCAATGTTATTAATACTGTTGGTCTCACATTCTCTCCATCCATCGTTGTGACTAAAGCATTTCGCTTGCTCAACACTGATCCACAATTGCGCCTCTCTTACTTGTTACTTGTTATCAATAACTTCTTCTGCTTATTTTATTCGACAGTAATAAATTATAACTATATGAAAAGTTGTCACTAGTATGAACCTTACGATATTTTCTAATTAACTCAGCGACACGTCAATTATAGCTAGCACTAGTGTTTTTCCTGGCCAGAAGTTTTGCCTTGATATTTGTACATTGAACCGTTTTGGAGGACATGGTATCTTATCCCAGGTGCCAGTCCACACGTGCACATGGCTGATTCGCTAATCTTAGATTGTGTGTACATGTAGCTGCGAAGTCGATTGTGTTCTTTTATCTGTAACGACATCGTAGAACATTAGTCCGACCCATTGAAGCACTGTCTCCGAAGCAGCAGCTATCTCAGTGTCTCCATCATGCTTAACGTTCCCAGCAGGAACTGACTTGAGACTGGTTTCAGAGCCCACTGTAAATATCATTAAGATGTCTTCTCATCTTTATTTACATATAATGTAATATGATCTTATCTGATATAATAAAACATTGATCTAATTCAGTGATCCAATGTGACGTTACCTTTGATAAAGATAATATCTCATCTTTGATTATGTGTGTGTGTGTGTGTGTGTGTGTGTAAATGGGGGATGGACCTCGGTAGACTGGTCCGAGTTCCTCTAGGCAAAGAATGTGTTATCCATTAAAGCCACAGTGCACGATAAATATGTGCCGGTTTCTCTCTGCCACATGCCAAAGTCTAACAATTTTCCGATGAATCAAACATTAGCTTGTCACTCTGGTCGTAAAGGTAGTCAGCTGATCACATTTGCTACCGTAGCGACAATAGGAATAAACTCTACAGGGGAGCATGTACAGCAGGGATCTACCAATCGTCAGTAGAAGTAATCTCTCGTCGACAAACGTTTCGGCCCACGATCTCCTATACGTTTTCAGAGAGTGGGCCCACCTGAGTTCATGAAGCTCAGGGTTGGTTTCCCTGCTGCACGAAATTACCGGATGTTGTTCG